AATCTGACGAGGAAGAGGACGCCGATCGGTGGAAACGGAACGACGAAACGAAGCAAAGACGGACCTCCAGAAGCGGAGTTGCTTCTTCGCCAGGACCACCCCCGCTTCGGGCTGGCGTGAGAGAACTAACAGAAAGTGCCGCTGGTGTCATCGAGACAATCTGGGCACGTGAAGATGGGAGAACAAACAACATCCTACCAGGGGTCCTCTGTCCCAGATTACACGTTGGATCATGGGGACAGGACGCATTTGCATTGGCCTTGGAGGCCCCTTGCAGTGCTTTATGAAGTATTCCGCAGCCAAGGTTCGATTGATTACATCCTAGAATGCAGCTTTCGTGAATACCACTGGCACATGTTGATCTTGATATTGACCTAACCGTCGTCTGTATGCTCACGTCTTGTCACCCGGAAACGGCTGCAGGCTTCTCGACCTAAACTGACAGACAATGGCACGGATAAACGGCTCTGAGTCATATCAACCTACGATCCGGTCGTTGTCCGCAACAGGTCATACACGGGACTGCGATCTCGCAATGTGCCAAGGATTCTGCGCGCCATATTTCAGGCGATTATGACGACTAACAAGCGACAATGCGAGTCGGATGAGCCGAGCCCACCAGTTCGCATAAGTTACGGTGGCCCAGCTGCGCATGGCTCGTGCACACGTCTCTGTGCATGTGACGGACGCAAAGTGGTATGTTTTAGAGGGTAACTTTCGATTTGTCACCTCTTTGTTGCAGGTTGTGAAATTCGTGAGAAAAGCGGTAACCATGATCAGCTTGACACCCAGTTAACACAGCGCTCGGGTGGGGAGTCGAACTGACCCTCCAAAGGTTTTTCCGGAATGGTTTCCGAACGGCGCGGCATAGCCACGCCAAAATTCTGCATAGTTGTAGACAATTGATATACCGGGTCGTCTGGCTTCAAACATTTAAATGTACCCTGTAAGTTGCTGGCCTATGGCAGGTCAAAGTTAGGTCATGGTTTCCAACGAAGGCCAATTTCTAGGGAATCCTGCAATCTAATCCAACAACGGAGCGCCAGGCTAGTACTAGAAATTGCGGAGGCCTACATCGCTGTGACAATGCCCGCTTCCCCCTGGCTACCACCGTCCTCCGTTGAGAGTCTGCTGCAACGCACCAGTGTTCATTAGGCCAAGTGTCCTGCCAGGTGGCTGTCCGCTGCGTGACGCGGGCGTTCCACCATCATGTACTAGTGCACGGGATGTGCAAATCGCGGTACAACCCGGCTGATTCACAGTCGAGTGTGTTCGAGGCGGAGGCATTGCCAGCGGAAGACTTGGTATCATTAGATATAAAACTATGTAACTCGTTCTGAAGGGTCCTGCTCATGGCCCTCACAATGGGCCTCCGAGGTTGACTCAGACACTCGGGACACTGTTGTGTAAACCGCTCCATGCTTTAGAATCGGGCTATCTCGGTTGAAAACCCCACGCCACGGCCAAATGTTCCACCGAAAACAAACGCAATTGTTTTGTTGTGTGAGCCATCCTGTATCTCTCGTGTTCTTCAGGGAGGATCATGTTTAAAATATCTTTACTGAAATGATGCTCAAAGATTGATCTGCTGTTTTAAACCATAGGTCTCCCAGCGTGCGACTCTTTTAAAGCATAGTTCCCCCAGCGTAGGGCTCTGTTAAGCATAGATCCCCCAGCGTGCGACTCTGTTTGCAAACATCACCGAAGAGCACGCTGCCGGGTCTGAAGGCCAGTCCTGTCTTGTCGCCCGGGGAAATTATGGCCGCCCTCGGCCGGCACGTGCGCCCGGTACAGTGGACGGCTAGTGACAGCCGCCCTCCCCCCCCCCCCCCCCCGAGATCGCCGCCCGGTATGCAGGGGAGACTCCGTCCCGCCCGTCCAACACCTTATAGCTCACCGGGCGCCGTTACAAGCGTTAGTAAACACATAAACTTGACCAGGACAGCGCATAAAGAGAGAGAGATAGGCGGCGACATTGTCATTTGTGGCGTCGGTGAAGAACGTATCACGTGGTCGATAAGGAAGCAGGTAAACAAAGCGTGATAGACGCCTGCACAGGACAATTAATGTAAGGCAAATACAGGTGAGGTCACTATTCGAAGCCAACAAACCTGAGTCGGCTAGTAGCATGCATGTCATACCAGGAAGGAAGTCTCCATTCACTTGGGAGGCTGTGTTAGTCAACGTACAAGGAAATGCTATCGGAATCTAGTTAAATACAGACATAGCCTTCTCTGGGCATGAATTAAATAGTCCACGCCCTGGGATTTTGACCCGAGCCCGTTCTGAGCATGTGCCATACCTCCCACTGCTGACAACAGCACCGAGGGCAGCCACGTCGCGTGCGACCAAATGGGAGCATGTCGTGTCCTCGAAACCCTCACAGTTCAATTTGGTCAGGTCCATACGATTCCAGATGAACTCCGAACCGCGAGCGTTATAACCCTCACTGCTAGATAACAGAGCGAGGGGAGTGAAGGGAGGGCAGGAGGGATGGGGCGAGGGCAGGTCCCAGCAGTGGGTGGTCAGACTTCCCTCAGCCGATCGTAAAAGCCTTGTATTGACCAAATGTAATGCACTGACCAAGGCTTTTGCTCGCGCTCTCAGTAGTAGATTCAGCGGTTGCGAAAAGCTTCGCAGAACCGAATGTAATGAACTCCAAAAACGGCCTATCTATCTGCTGCTGTCAATGCGCCGGCCAGGTGATACACCCTCCCTCTGACCGTGCCATAAACCGTGCACGGCTCCGTGACCTGGCCAGAGACCGTACACGGCTCCGTGACCTGGCCAGAGACCGTACACGGCTCCGTGACCTGGCCAGGGACCGTAGCACACGACTCCGTGACCTGCCAGAGACCAGTACACGGCTCGGTGACGACCATCTGTACAGTGCGCTGTAACTGCCCGTGCGGATCTGGCCGACAGAGGCCGCCGCCGGACCACGTGGACCTACCATGGATCGGGCCACGGCCTGGAGCCGGACGTGGATCTCAACGGCACGGGCCTCAACCATAACGGAGAACCAGCACACATGGTTGAGCCAGGCGGGGCCGCACCCCTGCCGGGCGACAGTGTCATGGGGACAGGGCGGTATTGACAGGCAAGGCCGGTCGACAGATCAGTCTAGCTGACAGGGTCAGCTGGCTCACAGGTCAGTTGGCTGGCATGTTCAACTGGCTGACAGGTGAGCCGGTTGACCGGGTCAGCTGGTTGACAGAGGCCAGGCCGGCTGACAGGTCAAATGGTTGACAGGTCAGCTGGCTTGGCGAGTCCGGCCGGTTGACAGGGTCAGCTGGTGACAAGTCGGGCTGGCTTGTGTCAGATGGTGGGACGGGGTCGGGTACGACAGGTGGAGTGCGCAGTCACGTTGACGGGTACAGTTGACGGGTCGGTCAGCAGCTGGAATCGTCAGATCGTCCTGCCTGATGAACGCCCGCTCTCAAGTTCTTGTCTAGTCAACTGCCCTTCTCAAATTCGCGATAATGAATAGGCAGTAGAGGGTAAAGAGCACCAGCTCCATCCCTCCGTATTACACCGGCACTATGTGTAGTGAACGTGGATTCGCCATTCCCCATGTCTCTGGCGGCCGGCGGGATCCTTTTCCCCTCCGCTCGTTGCAATGATGCCTAAGGAGGCCATCTAGTACTCCGAGAGTTAAGCAGGGTAGGAATAAGCAGATTACAGTCTGGGCTCGCTGAATAACTATGCATTAATACTCAGCCCCTAACACCACACGGAGGCATTTCACAAGTCACACGACAGCAGCCTAACCAGGATTTACGTAAGGATAAGGACAGAAGGACGGGACCTCCGTCAGCAGCTACGTAGGCTGAAGCGACTGGAAAGACCACGGCAAGCAGAGAAAGGGAGGGAGGGAGGGAGGGAGGAAGAGGGAGGGGTGGCTCAGACGTATGCTCGGTTTCATAACGTGGCATCTTCGCAAGCTATCGCTGGGGGGCATCCGGGTCCGTGAGCGCCGGCACCACTCTCACCCGTCCGCGTCGCTCCGCCCCAGGAGCCTACAAACCGAGAGCAGAGCAAGGCGCACGACGACATGTACGAGTACTGCGTGGGAACGCGAGCCGCTCGACCACACTCACGGCATACACGTGGCGTCGTGGCGCTTGGAGCGAGGTGCGGGCCCTACTACTACGCCATCACCATGTTCATCATGATCGCCGGCCCTCGCCAAGCTCGGTGGGCTGCGTGACGTCACGCGTCGGTCGCCGGGAGGGGGCGTCGCCGTCGAGCCGCGGGCCTGGCGATTGCGGCGCCACGTGCCGGCGGCGGAGTGCACCGCCGGTAGCGTGCGCACGGAGGTAAAACAACACAGAAGGTCTTTCTCACTCTTTATTCTAGATGGAAAAAACTGTGATACCTGAAAATGTACGTTGTGAGTAATAACGAACCGGTCAGTGGCAAAACTGCCGGTCGCCGCAGCGCTGTCTTCCGCGTCTGGCCGTAAGCATTTAACGAATACCGCGTCGCATTGCTGGTGCCTGACGTGGGCTTCCCCCAAGGTCTATGTTGAATAAAAAACTCGAGACGTGTGCCGCAGCAAACAGATCGAACAACCGTCGCAAAGCCAGCGAAAGGGTCGGGTGGAGATGCCGCACCTTTTCAGGTGTGCACTAACGATTATCGAGCATTTCTTTAGGATCTATTGCTCGTTGAAGGATGACAGGATAACAATATAGATATATTGATATTTTGGGCCACACCTTTGCCTAAACAGTGCACGAACGACCTTTTCATCAATGATGAATAAGGCCAATGGACCCTGGTCTCATATATTTGTAATGCTACTCACAGCTGCATTGTACAATTTACATAGGCAAATAATTGTGCAACGGACCAAATCCCCTAATAGCGAGCACTGCGCAGCTACAAGTGGAAGCAATGCCTGTTGTCCCAGTGCCACCTATGCTCTCCAGATGTCGTCGGTCGATTCGTTAGGTATGCTTCGTAGAGACGCTGATGCATGCTCTGTTTCCAGCTTTCCATCACGCTCACTTCCTGTCGTCACGCGTACCAGAGTCATGGTGAGTTTGATAGCTTTGCATGTCTTTATCGCAAGGGTTAGCATTGTTAGGTATCGAGCCCGCATGCACGCTTTCCGGCTATGACGGCATTGTGCATGTTCATTTTCATGCTTGCATTTTGACACTGCACAGTTACGCCACTTCCTTGGTTCAAGCTCACTGCACGATGAGTGCGACACTGGGAGTACGCGCACCGTCTGTGACTGTGGGTCCACACCAATACCTCAATGTGTCAAGCAGATTCAGCATTCATGAATGAGGATGAATAGCAGAGCTAGCCCGGCTCGGCGGCCGAGCCGTGCTAATTTAGCCGGCGCGTTTCTACCATCGGTCATGCCAAACACGTTCGCAAGCCGACGGCCGGCCAATCGCAGCATCAAGGGGGCGCTCGAACCTATTTGATGGCCACGGTCCCGCCGTAAAATAGCATTATCCGCCCTGTGTCGCTGCACGGACCTCCGCGCGCGCATCGGTCGTTGGTTACCCACGCCCCGTGCCTGACGACCATCGCTGATCCCTTCCCAGCGAAAGGTCCGCAGCTGAGGGCCTATGCCTCTCTGGTGTGGTAGGATGTTATATCCGTGCTGTGAATTCTGTACAAGAAGTTCGTGCGTACTTCTGTGACAATGTCGACGTTGTCCACGCCTTCCCAGAAACTCATGCAGCATGCCCGCGTCACTTCAGTGCAGCGCACGTCACGCATGCAAACTAGCGCCTGTGAGTGACGTTATCATTGTGAGCGCCGCACCCGCCGCGCCCTAGTATGGCTGCGACACAGTTACGAGGCGACGCAACTGTTCCCGAGCTGCTCTCGCTGAAGCGGTGCGACTGTACAGCAACTGGCGCCGTGACTTTGGACAGCGGAAGCTCACCGTAACACCCTGTAGATGTAGTTTCTGTGTAGTTGCCCATGTGCCCTGTAGTTGGCGTGCCTCGTCGCGCCCCGTCTCCCGCTGCTGAGTGCACGGCTCCGTGTCCGTCTGTTGCAGTCTTCTGATCCTGCTCGGCATCACCATGGGCTTGCTGACGTACCACTTCAGACACCTGTGAGTCAGACCACCACTGCTTAACACTGCTCCTATCGCCGCCACGGCGTTGCTACGTACATCAAGAATCGGTGGCTGGTCCGTGTGACCGCGCCGGGCTTGCCATGAGCCGCCGTTTTTGCGCGAGCGTTGCTTGTCTCTCCGCCACCGCGCTTCGTCGCTTCCCAGCCGGCCGGGTCTAACCTAGAGACGTAACTTTCGCCAAAATAGGGGCCCGCAGCCCAGTCCGCCCCGCCAAGCTAGTGATCCAGCCCGTGAAAGCCCACCCCGTGCAGCTAGTGATCTAGCCCGTGAAAGCCCACCCCGCGCAGCTAGTGATCTAGCCCGTGAAAGCCCACCCCGCGCAGCTAGTGATCCAGCCCGTGAAAGCCCACCCCGCGCAGCTAGTGATCCAGCCCGTGAAAGCCTACCCCGCACAGCTAGTGATCCGGCCCGAGAAAGCCCACCTCGCGCAGCTATTGATCCGGCCCGTAAAAACGCGCCGCGCTACAACGCTGGCACACCATGAAAGGAAATGCTTCACATTTGCAGATATTGAAGCAAGGCTGCCCGCAGTGCACCGTCTTGGCTGGAAGCCGTTCTGATGAGGCAAAGAAAAGTGATTGGATTCGAGATGTACCCTGATCGGACCATTTATCATGCATTTAAATCATTTTGATTCCCATCTGGTCAAAGCGATAGGTCAAAACTAGAGGGATCAGAATGAGGCGAGGCTTGAGAATGGGTATGAAAGTACCAAAGCGCCAAGTGGGAGGAAAGCGTCTTCCAACCAAATATTGTTATAAGCTGAAAGAAGATTTGTAGCCCTAGCTTCAGATGAGTTTTCGGAGAAAGGATATGGTAGTTGACCAGCGCCCACGATATTATTTCCACACGCGCTCATGGCAAGACGGCTCAAAACATGTGAAACGTGAGATGTTTCAAAACGTGCACAAGGCGCATTATAGGCATCGGCGCTGCCGCTGTCAGTCACATGTCGAGAGGGTGTCGTTCAGTAATGTAGACGTGTGCCTTGTGAATTGTTCCCGGGATGAAAATGGCACGTAGTTGGGTTGGCGGGTTGAAACTTGGCGGGTTGAAAAGCAGCATCTCTAGTCTGACCTGTCTGGCCCGGGCGCCGGCAGGGTGCACGAGGAGCACTTCCCTGACATCGAGCTGCCGTCCGGCGCCAAAATCGGTGCTTGCCAGACAGAGCGCAGCGCCTTCCTGCCCAACTTCAACTCGAACCTCTTCTTCCTGGTGCTGCTGCCGCCGTGAGTATGGACGGCGACGGTGCGACGGTGCGATGGTGCGCCGTGTTCCGGCGTGACGGTGCACCATCGCGCCGATCAGAGCACACCCTCCAGCAACGGCAGACAAAGCATGCGGCTTAGCTTGAAGCCAAATGTCGCGTCGAACCGCTGGAAATCGTTATCGGGATGATTTGTGCTGTTTTCTTAGCAGCCCACACACCGTGAGTCTGTGGCAAGAGAGGTTTATTCTTTACAGATAAATCTGTTCGTTGTCACGTCGCTTGTCACAAACACAATACCTTACAGCAGACCACGAAACCAGAGGAACCATCAGGTCCGGCATTTCACCTAATAACACATTCTGCCCAAAGCGCTTCAATTCCGTATCGTCGCGGATAATGCGCCCACACCCCTCCCTCCCGCCACGTCGGCACCGCCTGTAACGGTGTCGACGATTGCAGCATCATCCTGGAGGCGGCGTACTCGCTGCACGACCGCACGTTCGCCGACAACCTGGGCACGATCCTGCTCTACGCGGTGGTGGTGAGTGGTGCCTGGCGTCCCTGCTGCGGGACGCTGCGAGGCGGTGGGCCGGGGTCGGGGCCGGGGCCGGGGCCGGGGCCGGGGCTGGGGCCGGGGCTGGGGTCGGGGCGGACTCAGCGGCTGTACAACTGCATAATCAGCCTCCGTAGCCGCCGCAATGCACAGCTGCCTTTGCGGTGGTGAGAGGGGGGGGGGGGGGGCACAGGCGATGGCTTTGCTGTCTGGGGCTCAGCACACTTGGTTGGTGACCGCGAGAAGCAAGTCGTTACACAGGCGGTTAGGTTTTATGCCTCGGAGGATTAGGTGTCCTTTCACACCCAAATTTTTTTGTAACCGCCAACAGCCTTTGGTGGCCACAAGACATGCGCTTCGGTCGTCACGTGACATGTCTGACGCTGGCGACAGGACCAGCACACGGGGACGGGGGTCACGTGACACGATGGGGACGGCGTGGACGACGACGTGCCCTTGTGGATGTTTCAGAACAGTATGCTGATCCTTCTCCGATTGGCTTTCAGAGCTATACAGGTTAACATGTTATTCATAACACGGAAGTGTCGCGCGATGACCAATGTTGTGGCTGATGCCATAGGATCTATCAAATTAGCTGTGTACGCCAGACGGTTCATCAGAAAGCCTTTTCTGATTCCTCTTGTTCCGTCATATCGCGTCCTGCCCTTCTCTATTTAACAATTCTCGCTGAGTCCTCCCAGCTGCTTACCTTGCTGAGAGCATGTCGCGGACTCACTACCCGGTCGGCTCCACAGCCAGTCCGGCTGCGAGTCCACCAGAGTACCGTACACACCGGGTGTAGGGTGCTAGAGTACCCGCACACATCCCGACTTGGGGTTCTAGAGTACCCGTACACAACCCGTGTGGGTGCTAGAGTACCCGCACCACCCCGACGTGGGGTCTAGAGTACCCGTACACACCCCGACGTGGGGTTCTAGAGTACCCGTACACACCCCGACGTGGGGTAGAGTACCCGACAACACCCAACGTGGGGTCCTAGAGTACCCACACACCCCGACGTGGGGTCCTAGAGTACCCATACACACCCCGACGTTGGGTCCTAGAGTACCCAGACACCCCAACGTGGGGTCCTAGAGTACCCATACACACCCGGCGTTGGGTCCTAGAGTATCCGTACACACCCCGGCGTTGGGTCCTAGAGTATCCGTACACACCCCGGCGTTGGGTCCTAGAGTATCCGTACACACCCGGCGTTGGGTCCTAGAGTACCCGTACACACTCCAACGCGTGGTCCTAGAGTACCCGTACACACCCCGGTGTAGGGTCCTAGAGTACCCGTACACACCCGGTGTAGGGTCCTAGAGTACCCGTAACACCCAGGTGTAGAGTCCTAGAGTACCCGTACACACCCCGGCGTTGGGTCCTAGAGTATCCGTACACCCCGGCGTTGGGTCCTAGAGTATCCGTACACACCCCGGCGTTGGGTCCTAGAGTATCCGTACACACCCCGGCGTTGGGTCCTAGAGTACCCGTACACACCCCAACGCGTGGTCCTAGAGTATCCGTACACACCCCGGCGTTGGGTCCTAGAGCACCCGTACATACCCCAGCGTGGCGTCCTAGAGTACCCGTACACACCCG